TCCCCCGCCGCCACGGTTCCCGGCGGAGATGCCCGGCTTTACCACGGCTCATCCCACGGAGGATTCCTGGCTGCCCTCGGGAGACGGGTTTCACCGTCCCCACGCTCGGGCATCCTCCTTGCCGTGCGTTCAAGGGACAGTGCCCACCCTGGGGAGGGTAACGTGGGGAGAGCGTCTTGCTACACTATTTTTTTTTTTTTCTCTTAAAAAGTGGGGTTTGCGGCTGCAGGGAGGTAGCCAACAAAACTCACCAGCAAATCTCCGTCCAGCCTGGCCACGGCAAAGGGGCTTTGCCACCCCCTAAGCGTGGCCACGGGCAGGGAGAAGCTTTTACGGGGCCGTTCCCTTTGCCACCCTCCCCAGGGAGGAGACATGGACCAACCTGGGCAACATCCACCCCCGGCGCAAGGAACCATAAACCAGCCCGTGCTGCGTCTAGGGGATCCCGTGGTGAGAAAAATTAGGTGCAGCAAACCCCGTCCCTCTGGAGAAGTCCCCTCTGGCTGCAGGGCTCACCCTGCTCCCCGTAACACCCGCCTGCGGGCAGAGACACCCCCCCACCCCGACTCCCGTAGAGGCTGATGGTGAAGAAAAGTGTTATTTGTGGTATATCGCTCATTTCTGTGCTATTCACAGCTTTTTTCTGGCTAGAAATCCCATTTCCTCTCTGTCGTGGGGTGCCAAGGAGGGCCGGCAATGGGACCCCCAGTTCCTCCCGTCACCACCTGGTCTTTATTTTTGATGCATAAGTTAATCCAAGCAGCACAACAATGCATCGTTCAATCTGTCTTGCCAAAGGTGGGATTTTTCCTCCCTCCTCAGCCCCTCACCCCAGCAGCTGGCAGCTCTGGGGGCACCGCGTGATTTCAAAGTCAGGATTGTGGCCCCACAGGTTCCCCCCCAAAAAAATCTCAGTTTTGGGGAGAAAGTGAAAGCTTTGTGCTTGTGTTACTGTCACAGATCCTTACAGGTACCCTGCTTAAAATATCACATTTAGCCCTGATTTGCAGCATCCTTGACCTGTGTCCAAAGGGGATCTGGGGGTCGAGGGTCCCTGGACGGACTCTGCTTCCCATAGGGGTGTGATCCCCATCCTCCTCATTCTCCTCATCCTCCTCATCCTCCCCATCCTGCTGGTCCCTGGGGCTTGCAAGGACTTCCACACTCCCAGACTATTTTGGGAAGGTTTAAAAATATCCTCCCTGCACTAAGGGGCAATAATCCCAAGAGTGCAGCAGCCCTGGGTGACCACGGAGCAGCCTCGGCCCCCCCT